TTCATCTCTAAATACTGGGCATATTTAATATAATTTTTAAAGCCTGTACTAACTTTCTTTAAAATTTGAAAAAGTTAATTTCACAGTTAAATATGGGTTTGAAACAAACGAAAGAAGTAGAGTGACCATAGGAGAAGGCTAAAGTGTTGCTTAATAAGTTGCTATTTCTGTTCACAGTTCAGATGGGAAGAATACTAATAATAATGTCAAAGTTTCATTTATTTATTTAAAAAATAACAAACTAACATGATTCATAATAAGATCCTGATATACTTTGGAAACAATATTTCTTAGAATTTTTTCCTCTGTCCAACTTCTATTCATAGTAGTGCAATCTGTATCAATATTTACAAAATTCATCCACCATTTCTTGAGTTATTTTCCTGAAATATTTTCCACAATGAGTCGGCTTCTCTGAGAAGGAAGTTGGCAGATTATTTCTGGTGTTTCTCTTTTTATATTCTCTCCTGAAAATACAGAATACTATGCCAAAAATAATTCCCAGATCAGCATGCTATTTTTATTAGTCTATAGTATACACATTTTTAATAGGCAACTCTTGTCTGCCACTTGTCTGATTTTGCTTTGAGAATGCAGCAAACAGGATTGGTGCAATCTTTCCTTCCAGAGGATTGGAATTTACATTAGTATCATACCAGTTTTTAGTAACTGGGAATCATTAATTCCATGAGAAATGATGACAAATCTTAGCCTTAAGGCTAGAACACTCTTGAAGCATGTTAGCACAGATTTTAACTGATGTCACTTTGTACCAGTGATGACCATTCTGAAGTTCCTGTTATGTTGCAGACAAATTAATTGTGACATACTGATGTAATTTCTTTTCCCATGAACAGTCAGAGTACAAAACTTGTCCAGTTCAGAAAGACAAAACATTCAGGACAATCACTCTTCATTGTATCTCTAATTAAGAAGCTTTTATAAATAATTCAAGCTGTGACCGTGATTAGTTTTTATATGGTCAAAAAGACATGCCTGTTTAAATCATGACTAGATTTAAAAAACAACAACAACCCCACGGTTGCCACAACAACTCTAAAAATCAAAAAAGTAGAAAACATCTATGTGATCCAGGCAATCCCTAGCCAGTACAGATTGTTCACTATAGTACTTGGTTCAGTTTATTTAAAAAAAAAATCAAGCTAATTGTGTTTACTGCACATCCCTCAGGAGACTATGCAAGAGTTTTAATAAACCCCAGAAAATGTGTTTTTTCTATATTATCACAAGGTTAGGCCCTGGTTATTTAATAATAAGAAAGTTATTTTCTTCTTATTAAATATGTATGGGCCCTGATCCAGCTCCCATTAAAGTCAATGGAATGACTTCTAATGACTTCCTTGGCAGTTGGATGAGGCTCATATTGCAGAAGCACTCAAAGGCCCCAGTTGGGATGTTGTGTTAAATGCTGCACAAATATAAATTAAGACATGGTGTGAAACCCTGGCCCCATGGAAGTTAGTGGAAGTTTTGCCATTGACTTTACCCACATGATCAAAGAGGATTACATCTGGAGGGTATAGATATCCTGCCCCGACTGCATGCCTGACAGGTCAGTGCCCACCCCTGAGCTGGGCTTCTGGCTCCCTATTACTCTACTTACCTCGTTTGCCTTTCCCTCATAACTCAAGGAAGCAGGAACCCTTATGGGGTCCACAATCCCTTTCTTCTTGCTGCCCAGACAAAGACCTACTGCATTCAGTTGTGGAGTGCACTTTGTAATAAGTAAATATTTTAAGTTATTTAGTATCCTATCTGTCTCTCACCCTAGCCCTCTTTAGTTAGCTTAGCAGGATTGTGGCAAAGGCAGGCCTTGAGGCAGAATATGAAAGAGGAGAGCCTAGCTGCACTCAATTTTGGTTCTAAATGGATTTTTTTTCTCTGTATATAGGAATGGGTTTGATCAACCTACTTGCAACAGTGCCTGGGCTTACCTAACCACCTTCTCTGACTCTGACATAGCAACTACATGTTTTTAAATTGTATTTACCGGGCTCTGAGTGCGCTCATTTTATCTTACTATTTTCTCCTAATTAACGCTGCTTCATCTACTTCCTTCTAGAACTGACCTGAAACTTAACTTTCCATTAATATAAAACAGTAAGAACACTCCAGTCTTTTTTGTTTTCTATCATAAGGCAACACAGTTGATTTCAATAGAACAGTCAGTCTATCACATGTACAAATGCCTTCAGCTAGAATTGCAAAGTCAACTGTTATAAAATCTCTATACAGAATGAACAGAGAGATTAGTCCTTCATTTCCATCAGTTACTCCTGATGTTGCTACAATCTTTCCCCATTTGGTCCATCACAACAAAGTCGTTGTGGTTCTATTTCTTGATTTCTCCGAGATTCTGCCAGTATCCAGTTTTTCCAAACAAATTTGAAGATCTGATCTGACTATACATGCATTCATGTAACATCAAAAGTCATCTTTCACTCTAGTTATTTATTTTCTAGAAACTTTTCATTTAGCATTGCAGGTTATAATTTGCATGAATAATCAGATTTTTCCCCCTTCCTTTTCTGAAAAGTTATAGGATTCTTATGGAATAGCCCCATGGATTTCAACAGGGATGAAACAATAGAAAGTATTCTAAAACCATAATTTAATAGAAAGTTATAGCCTTTCTATGGAATTTTGTACTGTCTAGTAGATTTTTTATTGGAGAATTATATCCCTTCTATTGATTTGTACAGGTGGGATTCAACTTTTTATAGAGAGGTCACCATTCATTCTAAATACTACAGCAATTTTCCATAACAGAGACAGTGGTATGATATTTTGCATCCCTGATCCTTCTTTTTTTCTCTCTTCTTTTAGGAGAAGGTACCAGAGCTTTCCTGGGCTATCATGTACCACCCTCCAGAATTGATGCTTATTCATCACTGTAAAGAATACCTTCCTGAAAGGTGTGGTCTGGAAATATTTCAAACTTCTAAATATTCAGTCTGGCCAGAATATTTAACTCATTAAGAGAACTGAGCTTTAATAGAGACACCACAGCATGCTAGGTTCTGGTTGTCTTATTATTTATCACTTGTATTGCACAAGTGTTTGGAGACCCCAGTCATAGGCCAGGGCCCCATTGTGCTAGACATTGTACAAACAGGTAACAAAAAGATAGTCTCTGCCCTAAGGAGTTTACAATCAAAATCCACTATGAATAAATAGGTCATTTATGCACATAGGCACTGACTCCGTGGATGCTCCAGGGCTCAAGCACCACAGAAAAAATAGGGGGTGCTCAGTACACATGAACGATAGTGGTTCCTGGCCCCCCTGAGTTTTGTTACTGAAGTCTGATCATCAGGCCTGCCCTAGCCCCAGATAGAGCTTGAGTGTGGAATATGATAAATTCTGTGCTGCTAACAGCTTCTGCCCTTGGGGCAGGCAGTTTGTTTATAAACACAGGCAGGGTGATTAAGATAACAAAAGGCTTGTCATTAAATTAAATTAAGGATCGTTAGATGATCCTGAAAGCATTGCCAGGCACTCCAGTTAAAAGATAAGAAACAAAGGGTAGGAATAAATGGTCAGTTTTCAGAATGGAGGGAGATAAATAGTGGTGTCCTCCAGTGGTCTGTACTGGGACCAGTGCTGTTCAACATTGTGATAGGTTGGATCACAGAGACCCCCTTGGGATTGCCATCTGATGTGCTGAGACTACCTCTGAGCCCATTTTCCCTGCCAGCTTGGGACTCCAGAACCTTGCCTTGTTTGAGCCAGACATGCTTTCCTGCTGCAAACACAGACCCAGGTCTGAACACATCCCCTAAAAGCTGCAGACTTAACTGAAAACAGCTTAAGAAGTGTTCCTGTCTCCAGCACAGGTACCCAGCTCCCAATGGGGTCAAAACCCCAAAAAAATCTGTTTTATCCTGTATAAAGCTTGTACAGGATAAACTCAGACTCTATAACACTAGTAGAGAGATATGCACATATGGGTTAATTAATAAGTAAAAAGTGATTTTATTAAATACAAAAAGTAGGATTTAAGTGGTTCCAAGTAATAACAGACAGAACAAAGTGAATTACCCAGCAAAATAAAATAAAGCACGTAAGTCTAAACCTAATACAATAAGAAAGTGATTACAGATGAAATCTCACCCTCAGAGATGTTCCAGTAAGCTTCTTTTACAAACTAGCCTCCTTCTAGTCTGGGTCCAGCAATCACTCACAGCCCCATGGTTACTGTCCTTTGTTCCAATTTCTTTCAGGTATCCTTTGGGGGAGGAGAGGCTATTTCTTGAGCCAGCTGAAGACAAAATCGAGGGGTCTCCCAGGGGCTTAAATAGTCTTTATTTTGTGGGTGGAGACCCCCTTCTCTCCCTTATACAGAATCCAGATCCAAGATGGAGTTTTAGAGTCACATGGGCAAGTCACATGTCCATGCATGACTCAGTTCCTTACAAGTGCCAGTCATTGCTCACATGTTACCTTGAATGTCCCCAGGTAGACTTCTTATGTTGATTGGAGTCTTCCAAGGTTCCTTTGTCTGTTAAGTGTTTCTTGATTGGGCACTTAACTTGCAAATTCCTTTTTTCAGAAGCTGACCAAATGCCTCATTAAGGCTACTTAAAAATCAAACAAGTACACAGCCAATATTCATAACTTTGAATACAAAAATGATACATGCCTACAAATAGGATGAATATATTCAGTAGATCATAATTTTTGCAGAGATATGTTACATGGCATATGTAGCATAAAATATATTCCAGTTATGTCATATATACATTCATAAGCATATTTCCATAAAGCATTATGGGGTGCAATGTACCAAACATATTCATAAATGATCTGGGAAAAGGGGTAAAACAGTGAGGTGGCAAAATTTACAGATGATACAAAATTACTCAAGATAGTTAAGTCCAAAACTGACTGTGAAGAGTTACAAAGGGATCTCACAAAACTGGGTGACTTGGCAACAAAATGGCAGATGAAATTCAATGTTATGTGTAAAGTAATGCACATGGAAGAACATAATCCCAACTATACATACAAAATAATGGGATCTAAATTAACTGTTACCCATCAAGAAAGAGATTTTGGAGTCATTTGCAGTACTCTGGAAGCACTATGCACTCCCTTCTTTGTCTCTGCTTGTTGTTTCATGAGGAGGTTGAACAGTGTAGGAAAAAGGTCATTCTGCAACCCTTCTGGGATATACAGATTGCATACCGATCCATAATGGCCTCTCACAGTGTTCCACATGGATGTGACACTCTACAGGAAAAAATCAGACCGAGCTTTCTCTTCAAAGTCCTTTAAAAGCAAAGATGCTGTCTTTGCTTTTAAAATAATATTACAACAATTTGACTTCTCAAACTATGTGACTTGTCATAACTAATATACACAAAAAGCAAACCCCAAAAAACCAAGCAAATCAAACCAACAACAGTTACCCATGAACTAGCACAGCATGTTTTAACTTTTCTTTCAGCATGAAACAAGGAAAATAAATCCCATCAGTAAGTAAATGAAGTGGATCTCAGCATAACCAATCTATGAGCCTAAAATGAGCTTAACTCCCATGGTGGGAAGGTTTCAGCTTCATACATTATAAACCCAGAAGGGACTATTGTGACCGTACTTACAAATTTAGGGGAAGATTTTCAAAGACACAAAGGGCAGTTGAAGCATCTAATTCTATTGTCTTTTAGTGGAAGTTGGGTTCCTAATTGCCATTTGGGCCTTTGAAAATCTCCCCGGTGACAAAGATAACACTAAATTGGCCCATGCCCACAATTCAAAATCCTGATACCTAATAACATGCTTTGAGTTATTAACGTCTCCAATGTAATCAAAATGTTAATAGAATTTGGGTTTTGGTATAAGGGATTGTCTTCCCCAACTTGAGTGAGGAAGAGGTTACTTACCTTGTGCAGGTTCTTCGAGATGGTTGTCGAGACGGCCTGTTTGGAGAAAGTAAAAGACATACTACTGAACAGTCATAGAAAGAATACGAGAAAGACATATATCCATAAGTGGAAACAATTCAGCACTTGGTGCCAACATAAACAGATCTTACCAACATCTTCCCTTCTAACAAGGGACTACATGTTAGAACTTTAAAAATTGGGACTCTCCACTAGCTCCACAAAGGTACACTTGGTGGCTATCACAGCTCTCCAAGAGAAGGTGGATGGAATCACTATACTTGCCCACCCAATGACTAACTGCTTTCTTAAGGGCATTGTGGCGGGGCAACGACTCACCGGCGTGGCACCTCCTGCTGGTCATCTCGGGAATTAGCTCTTTCAGCCTCTGGAGCGCCCTCTGCAGGCCAGTGTCTCACCTGCCGCTGGCCCCCGTGTCCCTCCTGGACCCCGGTGCCCTTTACTTCAGGGTTCTTCCCTCTAGCAGCAACCCACAATCTGGGTCTCCCCACCCAGGGGAACCCCCAACCCCTTATTCCCACCTTGCCTCAGTGGCTATGCCAGTCATCATCCAGCCCCCGCTCCCTGGGGCAGACTGCAGTCTATATCCTTGAGGGGGCCACTTAGGGATCTGGGGCAAAAATCAGTACTTGGTCCTGCGAGTGAAGGCAGGGGGCTGGACTCGATGACCTTTCAGGGTCCCTTCCAGTTCTAGGAGATAGGTATATCTCCATATCTTTATTTTTATTTATTTTATTTATATTTATAAATCACTCATCATCAGCAAGCGGGGTTTGGACCAGCTGCCTCTTCCTATATCTGGGCTGCCCCTGCAGCCCCAGTACCCTTTAGTGGTCCTTACTTCGGCCTGCAGCCTGGGGCTTTGCTGGGCTAGAGCTCCCCAGCTCCCTGGCCCTTCCCCAGCACTGCTGCACCCCAGTACCCTCCTTAGTTTCCCAGGCAGCCAGGTCCCTCCCTCTGAAAAGGCTAGAGAGAGAGTGTCTTTGCTTCTGGCCCAAGGCCTCTTATAAGGGCCAGCTGGGTCCTGATTAAGCTGGCTGCAGCTGTGGCTGCTTTCTCAGTCAGCCCAGCCTTTCCCCTGCCACAGCTGTTTTAAGCCCTTCAGGGCAGGAGCGGGGTAACCACCCCGCTACAGGCATTGAGAACACATGCCCCACAATATGGAACCTGCTGCCCAACCTCGTCTTATGCGGACTGATGGGAAAGCCATTTGAACCCCTCACAATTGGCTCATTACTACACTTATCTATGAAAGTGGCCTTCTCCAGACGAGTGGGAGAGTGAGGTGCCCTAATGGCACATCCCCCTTACACAACGTTCTTTAAAGATAAAGTTACTTTAAGACCATACCCCAAGCCCTACCCAAAGTCACACACACCCTTTCATTTGAACCAACCCATTAACTTACCTGTGTTTTTTCCAAAACCACATGCAGATGGAAGGGAGGCCTCACTCCACACAGACATTTGCAGAGCATTAGCTTTCTACATTGAAAGAACAAAAACATTTAGAAAATCACTGAGACTCTCTATCTCCATAACAGAATACTCCATAGGACAAACCATTTCAAAACAGAGACTATCCAAATGGATATCAGGATGCATCCATCTTTGCTACCAAAAGAGCAACCTACAAGCCCCAGTGGGAGTCCGCACACACTCTACCAGAGCACAGGCAGCTTCTGTGGCCTTTCTCAACAATGTCCCCATTACCAACATTTGCAGAGCAGCAACCTGGGCATTAGCTCACACATTCACAGAATGCTATACTATAGAACAACGATCAACATCAGATGCTTGCTTTGGACTCACGGCGTTATCCAACATCTACAACACAACTCTGAAGCCCCTCCCTTCCACTGAGGAGCACTGCTCATCAGTGACCTAAAGTGGAGCACCCACAGAGACACTCCATGAAGAAGAAGAAGGTTACTCACCTTGTGCAGTAACTAAGGTGTTTTGAGATGGTTGTCACTACCCTCCACCTCCCCTCTACTTTGGAGTTTCATACAGATTCTCTGTGGTAGAGAAGGAACCGAGGGATGGTTGGTTGTGCAGTGCTATACAACCACCTGGAGTGGTGCAAGACAGTGACGGCGCGTGTGTGACCCAGCTAGGAACTGCTACCACAAATCTCCGATTTCAGGTGCAGGGTGTACAGATACCTAAAGTGGAGCACCCAACAGGGACGCTCCTCGAAGAAGAAGGGAGTTGAGTTGCCAAATACATTCTCTGATTATGATGTTATTTTCAGAATAATGAATATATTTACAGTACCACACTAGACCTTCTGATCATTAGACTCATTCAGAAACTTTAGGAATGAGGGGATTTGGGCCTCAGTCTGAAGTTGGAAGTACAATTCTCTATGTAATTTGGTCAGGAACTTTTCAGCTAAACATTTTTCAATTTGTTGAAACCAGAGCTTTTGATGGAAACATATTGGTTATGAATAAACTTTTGTCAGGATTGTTTTTCAAGTCCAGGAGGAAATTTCCTGTAACAGAGAGAGAGAGAGAGAGAGATCCAGCCCAGAATAGCCAAGCAGTTGGGGGACTCATGTAGGAGACCCAGTGTTCAGTCTGCTAGATTCAGACTACTGACTTGAGCCTGGGTCTTCCACATCCCAGCAGTGTATGCTAACCATCTGGCTATCCCAGGGATCTCTCCCATACCAAATGTTTTTGTGAAATTGAATTCTTGTTTCCAGGCAGCCCTGTATGTAATCTTACCCCTGGTGTACGTGACAATAAACTCTGTAAGTAATTGGCAGGTTCTAAAGGGAGGTCAACCTTTCTTATTTTAAATATCTGTTAATTTCACACAGACACACACACACACACACACATCCCAAAGAGAAATTATTTGAGAGCACAGCCACCAGTAAATCACAGTTCTTCTGCCACTCGGAAGAATAACAGTAATTTATTGCATTTAACCTGGAAGAGGTTAAATACATTACAGTTACTATTCTGATTCTATTTGACTGGGATACGGCACTCTTAAGCCAACAGCTCAGATGATTTATTTGCCTGTCTAGATAAACTGCCTCCTCATGTCTGCTTCTCATATTTAAATATAGTTTAACTTAGACTATGCCTGCACTTACGACAGCGTGTAGAGTGCATACACGGCATGCCCCCGTAACACAGCTATAACTAGCAGTGTAGATGGTGAGGCACTGCTTAGGTGAGTAGACACATCAGAACCTTAGAGTATGTACCCTACCTGGCTCTCTACACACAAAAGCAGTAGATCCCATGGCTATACTGCTATTTTTAGCAGTGTAGCATCCTGCTGCCTCTCCAATGCAGAAGCCTTTCCCCACCACAGGGAAGGCTCCAGCAGCTGGAAAGAGATCTGGCAGGGGAAAGCAGTGGGAAAAAGCTCTGACAGCGCCCCCACTTCCAGAGCCTTTTCTCCTGCCTCCCCTGTGCCAGAGCCTTTCATTTCCATGCATAGCTACACACCACAGTGTGGATGCACCCTACTCCACTGCAACATGTAGCTGCATGCCGCCGCCACTGTAGATAAGGCCTTAGTGTTAAAAATAGTGTTGGTGTCATTAGGCATAACCCTAGGTAACTCGGGAGGGTGGAAGACCACGAGTGTCGATGAAGCCTTCCTGCACTAGGCCTAAATGAACCAAACTCCTTCCATGTTTAAACTCTAATTGACCTCAAAAGCCAGATGTAGAAATTGGAATGTGTAACAATTTATCAGGTCCTGACCGCTCATATCGGTACCAAGCAGTAATAATGAGGCCTGCATACTTCTGGCTGAAAGGCAAGATAACAAATCAAAGGAAAGGGACAAGATAATAATTCAAGGAGATGTTACTAAAAGCTGGACTTATAGCCGCCAAGATGACTTAACTGCTTAAATGTAATTGCTTGCTACTTGCTTAATGTAAACTATTACAGGAGGAGGGAGGTGGAAGGGAGGGGTGAAGGGAAAAGCCTGGCTGCAAAAAGAATAAAAAGGGAAAACTGCTTGTCTCAGTGTGCTTGATCTGAGACATGCCAGTCTCCTTGCACCACTTTGAGATCTCAAATAAACTTTGATTGCTTCTCCACCCTGGTGTGTTCATTGGCGCGAAGCACAATGGGCAACGAACCCCGCTGTTGCTTTCCTCGGGCACTCTGTGCCGGCAACAATAGTGTGTTGGGGGGTAGAATATACTGCAGCTATAACTACCTTACACACAGCAGGGAACACAGGAATACAGGAGCAACCATACTACATGAGACCAATGAGCCAGTTAGTCCAGAATCCTGGCTCTAACAGTAGCCCGAACCAAGGACTCTGTTTTCCATTTCATTTGGCAGTTTGATTCTCACGCTCTCATTGGTGGGGTTACAGGCAAAGTGCTAGAATTGAAAAAAAAATTGCTAAAGAATGTATTTCACAGCCAGGCAAGGTTTCCAAGATTCCAATACATTTAAAATGATTTTCTTGAAAAAGCCAAGGTAGAGGTTTGTCAGATTTGTTGGCTTTCTCATAACAAAATCTTTTAGGCGCTCTAATTGCATATACCATTCCGATAATATCAATTACACTTATTTCTCCAATAGTCTTGATCATTTATTTCAAAGTGTTACTAAATCACTATTCTGTAATTTTTCCATTTGGGCTTAACTGATCCTGAAGTGCCAGAAGTTGTTGGTTTACCAAAGCAGTCACACTTCAAAAGTTTCTCCAAGTTTGCAAGATTCTAACACTCTTGAGAAAGATTCCCTGTATTTAAAATGGGGGATGCAAGTATCACCAGCAATCTCTCTCAAACTGGAAGAAACTTTTGACATGCAACTCCTGAGACTGCTTCCTTCCTGACACTATTGAGATAGCCCTGCCCCTTCTCACTTGCTGGTCCCCACCACAGCAAGGGACAGGAAATCTCAGGGGTGTAATGGTTAGCTATGTAGTTATCTGTGGCATCATTACACTACATTTCAAGTTTATCCATTGACCAGTGCCATCCACCCTTTAGTTTCCTTTACTATTAACATTATTACCAGCGGAGCGTGATCCTGAAATGCTAATTGAGCCAAAGCTGAGAAACAATTTCTCTGGCAACCAGATGAATATCAAGAAAAGAGTAATCTAATCTCAGTGAAAAAAAAGTGCAATCTCCTTTCAGAGGCTGCAGATGGCATCTTACATGTTTTTGTCTCCTAAAAGTTTTCCTAATTTTTTCACTTTCAAGTTCAGAGAGTTAGTGGGACTTGAGCAATTTTAGAAAGTATGTATATAAAACGGTGACACCTAGAGCAGGGCCCCATTGTGCCAGGTATTCTACAAACAGATATGATATGGCTTCACAGCAAAAGGTGCCAGGGTACAGGTACTCTGGCTTGCTAAGCCCGCCTGTAAATGTCCACACTGCAGAGTCACATGCAACTCATACCAATGTCCACACTGCAGTTACCGGAGCTTAGCACTAGGATTTATGTGGGTATATCCCCAGGTTCTTAGAACCTGACTACCTTGAGCCAGACTAGGAATTTATTGGTGGTGTATTGTGGGAAATCTTGTCTGTCCTTGAGTCAGAGGCAGTTCCTACCTTGAAGAGCTAACAATCTAATTGGACAAGACCACCCAATGGAGGAAAGGGAAACAAAAGGGAAACTGACTTTCTTGAAGCTCACACAGCAGCTCAGTGGCAAAGCTGAAAAGAAACCCCCCATCTGCTGAGTTACAGAATAGTGCGTCCTGCAGTAGACCATGCTATCTTGCTCACAGCCTCAGCCAATCACTGATCATTATATTCAGGATGAGGAAGGCTTTTTTTCCCCCAAGGCAGATTGGCATGGACCCTAGGGTTTTCATAATCCTTTATGACATGGGGAGTGGGCCACTAGCTAGGCTCATCTGGATATAGATCATGTAATCAATTCCCTGCTATTGCAGGGCCTCAGGCATTGGTCACCTCGGTCCCTCCTGAGATTAGTCTCCTGGGGGCTGTAATACTTTGGGCTAATTCTGGTTGCTGGGTTTGGTGTGGTGGTGGCTGGGGGGTGTTTAGTGGTCTGTGACATACAGGAGGTCAGACTTTAGACCTTAAACTCTATAACTCTAGTAGTGACAATGAGTCCTACCACTCCCTATTACCAAATCTTGAATATGTAATGTATGCAAATCTTGAATATGTAATTTAAAATAATCAGACTAGAGCCAGCATATACATTTTATTCCCAGTTTCTCTACCCTCCTCTCATAGTATTGTTGCAGTCAGATGAACGGAACATATTTATGCACACACAAAAATCTTCTCATCCCTAGCTCTTATACTATGAAGAGTAGAAACACCCCTCCACGCTTCAAATTTTCATGCTCAGTGTTTGATGAAAGGAGATTCTTGAAGGAGGGAAAATAAGCCTGTAGGTTCTTTTTAGATAAGAACTCTTTCATTTTACAGGGATGTTCATACCCTAATGTCTAGTGAGATAATTTTACATGAATCACCCATTACAGAATGTTAACAC